TTTCTTTCTTTAGCGCGATGTGAGAGAGCTGTGTGACGACAGGGTCCACTTCTATCAGTCTTTACAAGAGTGCGAATCGAAAACACAGCACTCTGCTGCCACACAGTAAGGACCGCAGACTGTACTCGATTTAAGTTATTCAGCTTTTAAAATGTATTTAGTTTCTTGTTTGTTTGTTTTCCCTGTAGTATGACCCGTGAGCAGAGGACTGCTGTATTCCAGTACTGGCTGAGTGCTGTTGAGGTTGGTGTGTTTGTGTCTGATTTTACAAAATATTTTTGTATTTGTGTTTTTGTCTTTAATTTTGACTTTGCATTAACACGCTGTTGCTTGTTGTGTCACCAGAACGTGTTGGGTGCTTACCCTCCAAACCACGTTCTATCAGCGCTGCAGTATTTGGCTTCAAGAGAGCAGAAGGTGTTGGAGGAGAAACTGTCGTCTCTGGACGTGACACGGGATGTAACAGCTCTGCAGTAAGACAGTGATCGGGATCTTTCATTTCACGTTATGCTTCCAGATTGTAATGCATTTTAAAAATGTATTTATTTATTTTTTGACATGCAGGTTCCGCTATGAAAGCGATCACCTTCTGGATATGTCAGCAGAAGAGGAAAATGAGTTACCACCAGTTAAAACCCTCTTAGAGGTGCGGTCACATTGCAGTATACCAGGGGTGGGCAACTCCAGGCCTCGAGTGCCGGTTTTAGATCGCACCCTGGGTTAACACACCTGAATCAAATGATTAGTTCATTCCCAGGCCTCTGGAGGACTTCAAGAAATGCTGAGGAGTCATTTAGCCCTTTAAATCAGCTGTGATGGATCATGGACACATCTAAAACCTGCAGGACACCGGCACTCGAGGCCTGGAGTTGCCTACCCCTGCAGTATACCAATAGCAACGCAGACCATGTTCATACCATCATGATGAAAAATAGCACACCCCATGTTAATTCTAACAGTTTACATATCAGGACATAATAAAGATAATCTGGTCTTAAAATGAGGTAACTACAAACAATAGCACATGTCATATTAAACCGTATCATTGTTGATTTAACAAAAACGAATCCAAAATGCAGAAACACTGTCAAAGGCTAAACACACCATATGATTCAGTAGCTTGAATGAATGAATAATGAATAATCTTTCTCACTGTAGGATAATTGACTTTAAATTGTTTGGGAAGGGACCTATAAACCCTCATGGGTGGCACATACCTGAACCGCAAAGTGCCAAAAGTTCTGCTTCTATAGTGGTGCTCACATTTGCTGATGATCAGTTAATGAAATAAACAGAAGCAGTAAGAGTGGACTTATTTTTTCATACATTTTTCACACATTATGTCCTGATACATAAAATCTTGATCGAACCATGATCATCTCTTTCTTTTTCCTGGAATCTGCGATTGGTAACTTTTTATGCATGTGATTGTTGCTGCAGGCTGCTTGGGAAGAAGTGGAGCAGAGCTTGGTGGAACTGGCCCAGACTCGCTCCAGAGTCCAGCAGCTCAAAAACCAGCTGCAAACCCGTAAGAAGGACGCTGAGCTCGAGGTGTCCAGTATTAGAGATGAGCTCCAGGATGATTCCTTGGCACTGTAAGTTCATTCCAATTCACTCTCTGCCTTTGCCATACATTTCATGTTTTTTTGCAGTACTGCAACCTTGGAGTTGGGTTTCTGTGGGGGGGCAACAAACAGCCACTGTTATTGTTGTTTTTATCTGAACGATACAGTGTTTTTAAACTTTGTATTTACATCCTGTTTGAAAACAGCTACGTGAGCTCATTTTAATTAGTGGTAATATCTTTAGAGGCAATAATTTTGTCTCGTCTTCTACATGCTTTTTATTTTCCTTGCGCTCTGAACTGTTAGATCGGCTCTCGAGGTGGAACTGCAGTGTGTGATGCAGGCAGCCGCCAGGGATCATATCAGAGACCGCTGCATCCAACTGGACCAACATGCCCAAAGTCGACAGGAGGCGCTAAGAAGCCTTCGCAGCCAGTGGCAGAGCATACTGGACTTCAGACAACTAGTGGTGAGAGTTGACAGACAATATTTTTGGATTAAATATTTTCAACATGCATATATATTGTCGATCTGTGGTCTAGATGTCTAGATGGTTGCTAGGTGTGAGGAGACTGACTTTTTGTCACATCATAAAAATAATCATGTTCTGCTTTCTTGTTTTTATAGCTTCTCAGACAAGAGCAGATCAGAGGTCTGATTAAGGGGAACTCGACAGCCAAGACGCAGCTGATTCATCTTCACAGAGAGGTCAGGATCAATGACGGTGAAATATGTTTGATGAGAGGCTTCAGTCTGGGGTGAAAAACGAGAGTGACTAAAATTTAATTCTTGTTTTTTTGTAGCACTCTGAAGATTTTAATCTTTGTGTTTTGTCTCAGTTAGAGGAATTCATCCAGGCAAGACTAGTGCCACAGTTTGAAGATGTGACCACTGCAGCCAACAGTCTAAGGAACGCTGTGTCTAAGGAGGCCAGACAGATGGGAACAGTTTCACTTCTTTCACTGGACCGCAGAACTATCGAAGGGTATGAGCATGTTGCTCGGTATCCCTATATTTGCCTTGTTGGTGGTACATCTGTGGCCCAGCTGCAGTGAATCAAAACAAAAACATATTTAATTGTTGTCCTTGTCCAGGGGTGACATTCGCTGACCAGAAATATAATTCTGTTTTGTTTAGTAAGCAACGAATTCCTGCATCGTGGTTGTCCATCCATCGCTTGCAGTCCCCGACCTTCAGCAGTGTGTGTCAGAGTCTGGCATTCCCTCTGTACAAGGTGAGTTTTGGCATATAACATGTAAAGTATTGCAGTTTTACTGTTTTCTCTTTGATTCGGCTCGCTCTCACGCTCATGTTTTGCTACGGTTGCAATCAGTTTGTGATGATATGGTGATTAATTCGTGAAAATTGCAAATCTGTGTCCCTCCCTTACCGTCTAAATACCACAGAAATTCATTTAATTACTTGCATTAAGAGCCCAGCCAGAAACTCGTAGGTTTAAAACAAATTCTTTCACAAATTGCGACGTAGTTACTGCAGGTCAGCTGTTTATTGCAAATCGACAGGCAGTTGGAGTCCTCTCTTACAAATGAAGATTTAAGATTCTTTATTTGTCACGTGCATGGTTATACAGGTATAACACGCAGTGAAATTTGACCTGATCCTCTGAACGCTCTGCAGACGAGCTCTTCTGTTCAGTTGACTCCGAATGATTGCGTCGTTCAGGCAGACTGTCCGTGTTCGTAAATTAGACACCGATTATTTGCAGACAACCTTTGCAGTCGCCGTGTGATTGAAGGTGGTTGCCAGAGTTTGGGAGTGTTGCACGCTCAAACTCAGGGCGTCCAGTTGGAGTTGGTTGCTGAACGCTAAAAAAATTCAATGCAGTCACCGGGCAACCACTTCATTCTTCCTTCCTTCCTTCCTTCGCTGAAAGGAGGTTGCTATGATGATCTTACTTTAGTGTGACTGAGTCATTTGCTTCAGTAAAAGTAGATGTCAGTCAGTGGAGCATTGTTCTGAACTGGTGACATCATGATTTTTGTGTTGTATTATTTTAAAATATTCAAATTGTTTTAGTGACTGAAATTACAAACAGTTTATTCAGTCGTGCTGCCTGGGTAATGGCCTCCAAAGAAATCTTCTAAAGGGACTTTGTGACCGTCTCACTATCCTAACATCACTTGTGTTTTCCTGTGGATCTTTCTCAAATCATTTTCTACAAAATCAGTGTTTGCAGCCAATTCTTAAATGTGCCCTAAGTGATTGTAACGGATGGTCATTGATCGATGCTGAACCCTCACAACCAGGGATGATAAAAAATTGCATCTTTGAAAGTCAGAGCAGAAGGAAAATAGAGTTACATGTACCAAAGCTGCTGGGAGGCGTCCTTTTTCACTGTTTTATTTTTCCTTATATTGCATACTAGTAACTTTTTTGACTTTCTGACTTTCACTTCAGGCTCCGGAGGAGTTGTGTTCCCGATCTCGCTCACAACAGCTTGAGCTGCGTTTTCTTCGTCAGCTACTTCAGCTTCACTCTGCCACTCTGCAGAAGATAAAGAAGGAAGCGGATCAGCTGGAGGCGTCTGATCAAAAAGGTAACCAGGAGAACTTATCGGGAGATAAGAGATTCAAAGCATTTGCTTTAAACACAAATGAGGGCAGTGTTTGGTGTACACGTACTTAATATGTTTAGAAATTTCCTCAAAAAATAAAATGCTCAGTGGATTTTTAGTAACATGCTGCTGTCTGTCTGCGCTCTTAGCTCTCTTGTCCAGAGTCATGGAGGAGGACCAAAAGCTTCTTAAGTCTTTGGTACCAAAAGTCCGAGGGCTCACTCACCGCTGTGCACAGGGCCTTTCTTATGGGGACCAAGTCAAAGCCGCCATCTCTTATTGGTGAGACGCATCTTTTAAACCGATAACCTGTTATCATTATCATTTTAATTGCAGCTTAATCGAGATTTCTCCTTTCTAATCTGGGTGTATTTTTACAAATTGAGATCTGGGAATTACCTAGAGTGACACGGTTACCTGAACAACATCTGCAAGTGAATGGACGAGTTATCACTAAAAGAGTTTTAAACACTACTTCCTGGTTTAACCTTTAGACAATACTAAGATTATTCGTGCACACTTTTGTATGTGTTTTTCTTTCCAAATTTAAGTGATTTAGGCAGTTTTAATGATCTTTCATTGATTGTCTGACTAGGCTTTTGTTGCTTGAGTCCATTATGGAGAGATAAATGTACTTCTTTAACTGGTCTCCGTAATGCAATGGATAAA